CCGGGGCTATCGTCGGACCAGGAAGACCTTATTGCCTTGGAGAGGATCTCCGAAGAGATCCTTTCGGGGCCGAAGCCCCGGGCCAACTCAATCGATCACGCGATCGATCGCTATCTAAGTAGTATCGGGTCGCGGTGGGTGGTCTCGGTGGGGGGTCCCCACCTCGCGGTGCGCGGCTGACGGTGCGCGGTCGACGGAGCGCGGCTGACGGAGCGCGGCTGACGGAACGGCTCGTGACGTAATCGTCACAAGCGTTGACAAAATCCGTATATGTGTAATAGATATTTAAGATAACTTCATGTTTGGATTCACTAATTGGGTTTACTATTGCTTTGATGATACTCATAGAATCTGTGAAGATGATGGAAGGTAGGTTATTATTGTCTTGTACGTAGTTTAAGGTTTCAAGGACTGCCCAAGCTTCTGCTGTGAAGATGGATGAGGCTTTTGGAAGAGGGATTCTTTAGATCGTGCTATCGCAGACGATGGCAGCTCATACTGCCTGGTCATTTTTTGATGCATCAGTGTATATCCTTTGGTGGTTTGGGAATTTGTTACATAGTCGCTAAAAATTAATTAAATCTATGTTCAATGCTAGTGACTTGATCTTTGGGGAATACTGTGAGGTCGGTGTTGGTATCTGGAATTTTTTGGGTCCAGGGAACTGGTTTTCTATGTTTACGTAGGATGATCGGAGTCGATATGATTTCAACAAGACTTTCGTATTTGGCAATTCTTCCATAAAATGGAATTGGAGACTTAGGTCTTTTGGTTTGTAGGTGTGTATACCTATTAGTGAATGTGTTGTTGTAGGTAGGATTATTTGGAGTGGAGGGGATTTTAACTGCGTATTTTAGGCTTAGGTACTTCCTTCTTTGTTCTAGAGGTGGTTCTTTTGATTCTAATAGTATGCTATTTATAGGACTAGTCCTGTAACATCCCGTGGCTAATCTTAAAGCGGCATTATGAATTGAGTCGATTGCTTTCAGGGTATTGGGTTTAGCTGAGTTATACACTATTGACCCGTAGTCCAATTTAGATCGAATTAGTACCTGGTAGGTTTGTATAATAATTTCTTGGTCAGCTCCCCAGCTATTATTTGCTAAAGTTTTTATGATATTCATTTTTTTTGTACATACGGTTTTTAGATATTTAATGTGTGGTCCCCAGGTTAGCTTGTGGTCAAAGTTGAGTCCGAGTATCCTAATGCTGTCTACCTTTTCAATTTCAGTGTTTTGCATATAGAGATTTTTTTGCGTTGTCTGGAAAAGATTATGTATTTTGTTCTTTCGGGGGAAAATTTGAGTCCCGATTTTTCGGGCCATAATAGAATATCGTTTATGCTTTCCTGTAGGAGCTGGATGATAGTATTTAGGTTTTTCCCGCTACAGGTTAGAGTTAAGTCGTCTGCGAACAAAAGTCCTTGAATTGGCGGCTTGATGTTGTTTAAGATGTCGTTGATTACTACTAGAAAAAGCGTAACACTGATTACCGATCCTTGTGATACTCACCGGTTCCTTCCGGTCTGCTGGGTGCTGTCTAACCCAATGGCAGTAACGGAACCAAGAATAAAAGTCCTTACAGCAGGCAATTGAGTCAAGTGATGTCTTTCCCTCGCTGGTTGGACTGGGTCCTGACCCTTGTGCAGTGGTGGAGCTATGATTTCTCAACACCTGCCGATATAAGCGAAATCTAAGGTGCGGCGGAGCGGCATATATCAGGCCAAAAAATGCTCAAATTGACAATAAATTGTCCCTTGTGGTACTTCCTTGTGTACGATGGTTGGTTTGGACAGGGCTCCATTCGTTCTCACCTGGATGGTTCTGTTTGTGAGGAAGTTTTTAATGAAAGGTAAAATATTACCGTTTAATCGTGTCTTCATAAGGGCGTTGATGATTGTAGTTCTTGGTATTGAGTCATATGCCTTTTCAATGTCCAAACATACTATAATGAGTGATTCGTTTTTCAGGAATGCTTCGCATATACTTGTCTCTAAGCTTATCAGTACATCGGTAGTTGATCGGTGTTGTCTGAATCCATATTGGTTAGGTGATAGCATGTTATTCGATTCGATGAACCACCTGAGCCTTTTCTTAATTATTTTTTCCATGAGCTTACACATACAGTTTGTGAAAGCGATCGGTCTATAACTTCCAGGTATATTTTTATTTTTGCCTGGTTCGGGTATAGGTATAACTATGGCCTTTCTCCAGTTGTCTGGGAATACTTGATCTATCCAAAAGTAGTTAAAGATCTTTAGGAGATGGTTGATGCCGATTGGAGGTAGTTTTTTTATTAGTTTGTCAGGTATATTATCGGGTCCAGGGGCGGAATTTTTTGTAGAATGGAGGGTATTTGTTAGTTTTTCTAGAGTTATGATTGAGTTTACGGTGGATTCGGAAGCGGAGTCTTCTAGATGTCTATTATCGCTTATTAGGTTCGTGAGTAGGTTTTATCTTTTGAATTTTTTTGAAATGTTTCTGCAAGGGTGTCAGCTATGTCCTGTGAGTTAATTATTACTTTATTGTCGCCTAGATTCAAAAATTGAATTTCTGTGTGGTATTCTATTCCATTAATATTTCTAATTTTTGTGAGATGCGTCGAGGGTAAGTGTACTCTTGCATCGTAGTTTTCATCTTTTAAATTTTTTCGAAATGTTTCTGCAAGGGTGTCAGCTATGTCCTGTGGGTTAATTATAAATTTATTATCACCTAGATTGAAAAATTGAATTTCTTAGTGGTATTCTATTCCATTAATATTTCTAATTTTTTTCCATAGGGTACTTGTTGGAGTCTATTTGTGATAGTTGATATACATGATTGCCAAGATTTCCTTTTACTTTCTTTTATTATCTTGCGGAAATTTGCTCGCAGTTTTTTGAAATTTTCTAAATTTTCTGTTGTTGGTTGTTTCTTTGTTTTGTTGAAGACCCTATGGCTTTCTTTCATGATTGCATGATATTGTTCGTTCCACCAAGAGGTGTTCCTTTTTTTTGTACTTATTGGCTTAATTGGACTGGAAGATTCCTGCGCTGTTTTTATTATACTTGTTTGCAGTAGTTCGATTTCATGATTGATGTTTATTGGATCAATTTGACTATTTGGAATTTTTTAAAGGGTATTTGTGACTATTGTTTTATATAAACACCAGTCTATTTTATGAACATTCCACTTGTTAGCGGGTTTGTTTTGTAGCTGTGGGCATTGTCTAGGTAAGTAACTTTAATGGGAAAATGGTCGCTGTCATGGAGGTCCTGCAGGGATTCCCATTCTAGTGATTGCGTCCATTTGCTGTTACATAGTGTTAGGTCGATTGCACTCATTTTGCCAGTGTTTACCGTAAAATGCGTTGGACTACCTGAGTTGAGAAGAGTGATATCTGGGTTTTCTAGTAGGTTCTTAATAATCTTCCCGCGGCCATCTATTTTGTGCGAATCCCAAAGATAATGATGGCTATTGAAGTCGCCCATCAATAAGAACGGTGTTGGTAGCTGGCTTATAAGCGATTCTAGGTCAGCTGATTTTAGGGTATGACTATTCGGAAGGTATAGATTGCATATGTGTATCTTGTTAGGGAATTGTACTGTAACTGCAATTGCTTCTAGGTCTGTGTTTAACGGGATTTCGGTGGTATTGAATTTTTCGGATACTGCGATGAGTATTCCCCCACTCGCGTGGTTATCGCCATCTGTAATTTTGTTAAAAGTGCAGAATCCCTTGAGTCTCGGGTGATGGTGTTTTTTGAGGTTTGTTTCTTGCAGGTGATGGTTGGGTTGTATTGGTTTAGTAGAAACTGTAGTTGTTCGCAATGACTGTAAAAACTATTTATGTTCCATTGGATTATCTGCTTCATTGTAATTAAGAGGAGTCACTCTCTATTTCTCATGCCCAGTTAGTGAGTTTGTTGAAGGGCTCTGAATTAATTTTTTATACAATCTGTGTAACCTGTTTTTCATGCTTCGTACTTTGAGTAAAGGGTGGATTCTTATTATCATTTCGGCTAAATTAAGGGTATTGGTTGTGTATATTTTTGCGATTTCTAACGGACCTGGTGCTGTAATCGAGTTTTCAAGGAAGCTTTTAAATTGGATGTAATTTAACACATGATTATTATCTTGGTCTTCTATGTAATTTTTGGCTGGTTCTAACGTATCATCAATTTTATCTAAAGAAAATGCAGGAGATGGGGACCGTTTTGTTTTTTTTAGAGGCTGGTGCTGGGATTCTTTTAGGTTTTTTGGCTAATGGGTCTGGTGGCTTAAATTCAGGGTCGCTTAGCTTTACTGGTTTGGAGTTACTTTCTTCGGATGTTATAGATAATGGTCTTTTGTTTCCTTTTTTATCTGCACTCTGGTCTTCCATTTCTATTTCTTTCAGATCTGTCGTGTTAGAGGCCTCTTGCAATACTGCTTCTATGTGTTCAGGTGTATTTGGGCTCTCTATTTGTATTTCTTAAGACTGGTCATTGGCGGTGGAGGGTGGGAAGGATTGTGTGATAGGATTTTTTTGTGAGCTGGTTTCATTTGGATGTGGGTTTAGATTATTGGGACATTGCTTCGCAATATGTCCCTCTTGATTGCATATAAAGCTTGTCTGTTTCTCTGTGGTAGCGAATATTCTGTAGGTGTTGTTTTCTAATGTAACTAGAAACGACCTCGGGATTTGTTTAGCATCTTCTGAGTCAACGTAGACTTGCCTCCTAAAACTTAATATAAGCGACAAGTCTGGGTCAGTGATTCCCGCTTTTAGTGGAGTTATTTTTTCTAAAAACATTTTCAATAACTGAATTTGGAATTATGGGTGCAATGTTTGATAAAATGATTCGTTGTGCCGGTAGTACCATTGGGCGGATTTCTATGCTTACGTTGTTGATTTGAACTGTTTTGAGTTTAGAAGTTAAGTTTATAACCGCTTCTTTGCAGTCTAAATACAGGATTCGTGCAATAAGTATCGGGACTGGTTCCAAAAATCAAAATTTATTGCAGGTATCATTACAATTTCTTAATAATTTTCAAAATACATTCCTCCTGCATCGACATACTTAGTTTGGCGCCTCTGCCACTCGTCAAAAGCCTTCTGAAAGTCGGTTTCCGGAATACTGTTGAGAGCCTTCGTCGTCCCCGCTTGAATCGCCTCAATGGAGTCGAATCGATGTCCTTTGAGCTCTCTTTTTATTCGTGGAAATAAGAAAAAATCAGGTGGAGCCAGGTCTGGGCTGTAGGGTGGGTGAGGTAACGTAGCCACGTCAAATTTCGTCAGCAGCTGCTGCACAACAATCGCACCGTGGCACGGCGCATTGTCATGGTGAAGTGCCCAATTCCTCGCAATGGCTGGTCGTATGCGCGTTACGCGATTTTGCAGGCGTGTCAGTACTTGCACGTAAAATGCAGCATTTACGTTCATTCCAGTAGGCACGAACTCCTTGTAAACAATGTCACGTCGGTCGAAAAAAGTAATCAGCATGATTTTGATTTTGGATTTTGACATCCGAGCTTTTTTCGGACGCGGGGACCCCTGCGTGCGCCACTCTGAACTTTGACGTTTTGCTTCCGGGTCGTACTGGTACACCCACGTTTCATCGCCGGTAATAACATTGTCGAGAAAATGATCATCTTTCCGGACGCAGTCCAAAATTTCTTGCGAAATTTCCACCCGCGACAGTTTTTGTTCCTCGCTCAAGATTTTCGGCACTAGCTTCGCGCACACTTTCCTCATCGCAAGATCCTCTGTTACAATGGTGTGGACGGTTTCGACTGAAAGGCCAGTCTCCTCACTGATAAGAGCGATGGTTGAACGCCTGTCAGAATCCAAAACTTTTTTCACTTTGGCCACCTGAACATCAGTTCGAGCGCTCGTCGGGCGTCCGACGCGGTGCTCGTCGTCGACGAGCTCGCGGACTTCCTTAATCATTTTGTGCCACTCAAAAACTCTTGTACGGCTTAAGGCATCATCCTTATAAGGCTGTTTAATGAGTTCAAGGGTCTCCAACGCGGATTTTCCAAGTTTAAAGCAAAACTTTACAGCGTAGCGTTGCTCGACGGTGTGCTCCATGCTGACGCGACGACACCAAAACAAAACATAAGTCACAAAAATCCACTTTCTGTCTCAACGCATGCCCACACGTGACTGAACTAAAGTGCACCTGAGTGGTGAGGAACCCCTCTAACGAGCCGACGGGTTGGATCTTCCTACACCAACTCTGTTAAAGCTATAGCGAACCAGTCCCGATACTTTTTGAACGGACCCTGTACATACACATTCTTCCGTTGGAGATCCTGGAAAGATATTTTATATCTTTGGGCCCTGTTATGTTACCGATTGCCCGAACGTACTCCTTAATTGCGATACCATCGATTGATTGCAGAATGACAGCTTGGTCTTGGGTTGGCGTATACGAGGTGTGAAGAATACCAATGCCAACCATGTGTATGCCATTCTTCCCTCCTTATTTACAATAATTTTAGTTTATCAACATGTTTCGTGACTTGTTTTCCATTAACTTCTAGGATAACATTATTTTTTTCCAATATTCCAATTATTTTATATGGTCCATGATAACGCCTACTGAATTTACTTTTTCGTGCTTCGTTAATGACGTATGCCATGTCCCTTATCTCACCATTAAATGGTCGCGATTTTGAATCATAATAAGTTTTAGATCTTTGCTTTGCTTCGATTAAATTTTTCCCTGCTATTGTTTGCATTTCTGAAAGACGAGTTATTAGATCATGTAAATACGAATTATACGTAGGTAGTTTATCGTCTATTGTAAATGAAGTCGGACACCGTGCAACTTTTCCAAATACCAACTCAAATGGTGTAAAATTTGTAGCTTCATGTACTGATGTGTTGTAAGAAAACATCGCAAAAGGTACTAACCGATCCCAATCGTCAAAATTATTTATGTAATGACTAATGTATTCCGTTAAAACAATGTGACTTCTTTCTAACGCGCCATTCGTTTGTGGTCGGTATCCAGATGTAGTTACATGTTGAATTTTGAAAGTCTTAGTTAAGTAATAAATGATTTTATTGAGAAAACTTGTGCCTCTATCGGTCAAAATTGCTTTGGGTGTACCATAGTGCAATATTAGATTTGTTACTAAAGCATGAGCTATTGTTTCAGCTTTTATGTCAGGTATGGGAACTGCTATGCAATATTTTGTTAAATTATCCTGTATTGTCAGAATGTGTCTATTTCCATTAGGAGTGACAGGTAAGGGTCCTACTATATCTACTGATACCTTTTCGAATGATTCCAGAGGTGTGTCAGTTATTATCATTGGTTCTCGAGTTTTTGCTCGGACTAATTTTTGATTTTGACAACTATTACAAGTGCGAATAAAATTTTGAACATCATTACGTAAATTGGGCCAATAAAATCTTTCACGAATTCTACGATATGTTTTAGTAACTCCCTTGTGTCCACCAATTAAACTTCCATGCAACTCTGAAATTATTTTCAGACGAAGTTCTTCGGGTGGTACTTGAACATTACCATAACGAAGTGTTATTTTTATATTACTATCCTCAAAAGTATTCACTAACATATCCGCTAGTGTACCCCGATGTAATGTATCAGTAAAATCGCCAATTTGTGATATTCTAAAAGTATTGATATTTAAACTTAAAAGAATTTGTTTCAAATTTTGTAAGCCAATTTTTTAAATTTCTGTAGATAATTCATCAAAACAGTTCTTTTTAATAACTACACTGAAAACTTTATATTTTCCGCGTTTCGTGATTAATACTTGTCCTAATTTCGGTTTAGAATTCTGAAAATTTTCTGTATTTATGATACCTAAATCAGAAAGTAATTTACTTATAGGAGTAATTAATCGACAATCTGAAGAGATAAAATGAACATAATGTGAATGTCTGTATGTTAAATTTTCTCGAGAATAAGTTACTATCTTTTGCGTTTCGAAATGTGAATCTAACGGTAAATTTTCGGTAATTTGAATTCCTGAAAAATCTGGATTATGTGTAAAATTAGATTTCGATTTTGATACAGTAGCATTCTTTCCTCCCTCCTTAGACTTCAATTTAGCTCTTGTTTGGGAAATAGGGGTTGATAATGCTAAAGGATCTGATGAAGGAAACTGTAAGTGCTCTAATCGTTCTTGTAAATCTTCATCACTTAAGTCTGAGTCAGAGTCCACGTCTGCTAGAATTTGCGTCTGTTGCAATGTAGTGTCTTCGTCAGATGTAATGTCGGAAAATTCTTGATTGCTTTGATTCAAATTTCGTAAAGTCTCGTCATCGCTGTCACTACTATAAGCTTCTGGCAACTCAATCATTGCACTCTCACCTGATTGAACTATCTCTGAATCCTGCTCGATTTCGTCCAACACAGGAGACGCAGTTTTCTTCTCTGGAACTGTAGGGATACCCAGCATTCGTGGTTCTGAATGAAATTCCAAATCAGGTAACACACTCCTGCGATGACAAAATTTTGGAGCATCCGATAATTCATCATCTGAACTATCGTCGGAAGATTCAGATACGCGCTCAGGCTGGAGCACTACAGGTTTAGATTTTGATCTAGTCCTAGTAGCTATTGCTTCTGTATCAAGAGTCGTCTGAATTGCATTTCGCTAGCTTTTTGAACCTAACGGTCTACCTCTTTTCCGTTTTTCAGTCATATCAGTCTGTATTGCAGGTTGTAATGGAGTTTTAGAAGATTCGGGACCAGAAATTGGAAGTAAATTTCGTGTTTTGGTATTCGATTGCGGATTGTCCTGTTCGTCACATGAAGATAAGGAAAATTCATCGGAAGATATTATTTCGTGTGCGATAACCGGGTTACGCGATAGAGCATCTGCATTAGTGTTTAATTTACCAGATTTATGAACAAAATCGTAATCGTAATCTCGAATTACTTCAAAAATTTAATTATTTAATTGCGATCCTATGAATACGAGTATCTCTAAACCTTTTGAAATTTTAATTGTAAGATTTTTAAATTTTAATATTGAATAAAAGAGAGTAGAAATTTTGAAAAAGGGATCACACCGTGCTTTTAAAGGGATCCCACCGAATTTTGAAAAAGGGATCACACCGTGCTTTTAAAGGGATCACACCGTGCTTTTAAAATATCCCACCGTGATTTTAAGCGATCCCACCACTGCCACCAATTTTCTTCTAGGCTGTTACGTGCGGGAAGCCTCGAAGATTTGTTTGCCCTAACAATATTAATTGTTAACGGGACTTAATGTTTTGTGGATCCGGAGATACGCTAGTCCCATACAGGCCCTTTCACAAGATCGCAATGTTAAAGGAATTGACGGAGGCAATTAAAGAAATGTAATTCAAACTAATTAAAATATTCAAAAGATTATATTTTGTATAATAAAATATGAAATAGTTAGAATGGTAGCGTATATGATATAATGTGAATTACAATGAACTGAACAAAAATATTGTAAATATCCGAGACGCGCAATTCGAAAATTTGAAGGAGAAACAATTATTTAAATAACAAAATAAAATTATAATCCAGTGAGGGAAATCCCAAAGTTAAATAATTAACTACTGGATTTACTTGCCGAAAAATTCATAAAATAGCTGGAAAAATAAAGGAAACAACTCACCGAAATATCTGTACTTAAATGAATTTAAAATTAACAACTCCCTTTGCAAAATGTGAAATGCTAGCTGCGCCTGGTTTCTGGGAAGAACACACACACATGTAAGCGCTCCACCAATGAGAATTTTGAAAGTGACCAATTGTTGAATTCAAATAAACTATAAAATAAAATTATACTTTAAAAATTAAAGAGAATAAAATTGAATATAATTGAATAGAAAAATAGAATAATTAATTGAATTGAAAATTTAATGTGATTATATAACGCGAAAGCTTTACGTGAAGATAGAATCTTTGTCTGAATTTTGCACTTTAACAAATTCAAGAACAAACTCGTCTCTAAACCACTTCACGGACCCTCGACACGCACCTCGCGATTATACACCGAAGAGTGTCGCAACTTGCACCTCTCGGAGAAGACCAGAGTGGGCCTAGTCCGAAATTGTTTATGTTGCAGTGATATGCGCCTAACGAATTAGGCTGCGAGGCCAATGCGTAAGAGACCGTGATTCGTTAATTAGGTGGTGATGGTGGGTGCATGTGT